AATATTGCATACTGCGTGTCTTCCCAGGCCTTAAGCCTCGATGGTATGTAAGGCTGTTCATCCTTGTTCGGCGGTACATACACTGAAATAGTAAAGCTGATATCAAAAGACTAAGGAGAAGTGTTTTAAAAATCTAATTATCCTACATCACAAGCTTTCACAGATGTCTCTCTTTCAACAGATACATAGGCATGGCCGAAAAATCTTATAACAGGATAACTAAATAAAATAAATCAAAATTTAAAAAATAAACTTATCCCTGGAAGCCTAAGGTTTTCAACTTCATCTCAAAGTTTATGTCCATAGATTTGCTGAATACATCAACCAAGGTTCACTCTTCAGTAACAGGCATATCAGCAAGAAACACCCAATACAATATTGGATTCATACATGAGGTATGGTTGATTAAACTGGCAAAACCGCTGGGAAGGTTCACCACTGATGAGCCAGGCCATCCTAATGTTTAATTATTACAGTAAGGACAGTATTAAACGTGTTATTGATAAAATTGAAGAAAAAAACGTCCTAAAATAAGTTTATTTCTAGAATAGTTTTCTATCTTGAGGTATTCGGTTACTTTTTCATAGTTTCCCCTTCCAATACAGCCCATCATTCCAATTCTTCCTATACCGTTCACTTTTAATTCCTCTCACGTTAAAGAAATTTCTTCATCTAGCCATATTCTCTTAATACACCCATGGACATATCTTAAGGATGTTGTACCTTTTAGCATGTATATCGGGATTCAGACAATAACTCTGAAAGATATTACAGTGAACTTTATTGAAGACACACGAGATAACCAAGTGTGAACAAAATTGTCGCTGTCTCCTTAAAAAAAAAAAAAAAAAACAGACGACCGGTGACATTAAAGACTCTTTACTTTCTTAAGTTTTTTCCATTAGTGTATATGTTCTATACAATTCTTCGGTATTTTAAGAATGTCTTTCAAAGGTCTTCGTTCCTCTCCCAATCTTCTCAGAATTGTTTCATCTCTGATCCTGTCAATTCACATTGATCTTCCAATTCTCTCTAAATTCACATTTCAAACCTTTTTCTGTGTCTTTTCCATTGGTAATATATTCGTTATTTGCCGCTAGATGGCAAAGGAATCAAGACGTATGTAACATCACTATTTACTGATATAAGTACACTCATGGATAAAACTTAAGGAAGTAGTCTTTGTTGTCGTATGTCGTCATTTTTTTTTTTTAGGAGACAGAGGCAATATTGTTCACGGTTATCTCATGTGTCTTCAATAAAGGTAGCTGTAATATCTTTCAAAGTTATTGTCTGAATCCCGATATAAATGTTGAAAGGTACAACTTCCTTTAATTATACATTAAAACAATGCATTTTTTACGAAATTTGGCCATTTTTTGGCGAATTCGGAATTTTCCAAAGAAGTGTTTATCTTGTAAAATGGCCAGACTATTTCTAAAGTTAAAATATCTACTTACAGGTATATATATGATCGGTTATTAAAAGATGATTTTATAAAAAAGAAGATAAAATTTACAGAAATGTGTCAAAAGAAAGTTTCACTATACAATCTATTTTCAACAGAATGATTTGAAAAATGGCTCATCCGTCGGAAGCTTCAAAAATGCGTTAAATAGATTATAAGGAAAAGCCGGAACTTGAATGAAATCTCTTTGTCAACCACAAACAGACAAACATCGCCGAACAAACGAATAAAGAAGACCTCCCAGAATCAGTAAGAGCGATTAATGACAGCAGTCCTTGTCATCGCGACACTTGACAAACTGGAGTGACATTTTATCCGGCTTTACCTGACAGGATGGATGACGTTGCGTATTTGAATAAGGTGACTGCTGCAGTAAATCCTACAGCCGGTAAAAAATGGACGCTATCGTTGTGGGTGCAGATAATAGGAAGGAAGAGTAATGGATAGAGGCTGGTATGATGGAGGGCGTCGAGGTCCAAGCTCAACCTTACCCTCATCCCTCTTCCTAATGGAAAGGGAGAGCGGTCGGTGCCGCAAGGAATGGGATAAAATGAAAAAGAGCGGCTGAGATCTGCATTGATAAATATTTGGCCTATCATAAAAAAAAATACCCAAAAGATTTATGATTAAACCCAGAGCACAAGAATTATTCCGATAATAAATATTGAAAGAATTAATATCATCAGTGTCTTTTTCTCTCTCTCTCTAATCTTCTAATGATAAGAAAAAAAGAGAGAAAAAAAAAAAAAAAGAGAAAAAGCGAGGAAAAATGATGTCTGCAAGAAAGACAAGCACTGTGCTATTTATGGTATTTTATTCTAAAAATGTACCCCAGGAAAAATTGTTATTAATGGTACCTTAAAAATGAAGAAGTCCTGGGAAAGATAAATGGGAAGTTGAGAAGAATGTTGGGGCGGAGAAACCCATTCGATCTTTCACAAGCCGTCAAATGTTTGCTACTTTATTTACCAGCAATAAATGTTCACTCCCTCAGTCATCTGTTAAGTGAGAGCGTTAAACAGCCTCCTTCGTTCTGTAGTCAAGGTTTGTTTTACTCTTGGAATATGGCCAGAAACATCGTGTTAGTGATTTAATGCGGATTTGGTGAATAGTTTCTTAATATATATATATATTTGGTATTAATGAACTATTGAATATATAATAATAATAAATAATTAATATTTTCATAAAAATATATTAAGCCAGCTGATGAAGTTCATATAACAATGAAAACTGACGTTTGCTGGACATGTGATGCGCGGATCAGCAGAAGAGACATTGCTGACAGTGTTGGAGGGAAAGCTCCGAGGGAAGAGATCGAGGGGAAAGAGACGACAGGGATACACAGAACGATCTAAAACAATGGACTAGACGACACACCTACGAGGAGATGAAGAGGATGGCAGAGGAAGTATGGAGAGACCATGTGGCCCATCCTCAGTAGAGAAATGTATTGAAGGAGGGAAATATGGAAAGACCATGTGGCCGACCCTCAGTAGAGGAAGGCATTGAAGGAGGGAAATATGGAGAGACCATGTGGCCCATCCTCAGTAGAGGAAGACATTGAAGGAGGGAAATATGGAAAGACCATGTGGTCCACCCTCAGTAGAGGAAGACATTGAAGGAGGGAGATATGGAGAGACCATGTGGCCCACCCTCAGTAGAGGAAGGCATTGGAGGAGGGAGATATGGAGAGACCATAAAAAAAACTTATAAAAACCAATAGGTAAAGCTCAAACTGGATAAACGGCTGAAATGGCTTCTACTAAAAAAAAAAAAGTAGATTTTCCCAATATACTCCTTACCGGAACAATAAAATATAATTGTTGTATCTAATGGATATTTCATGCGCTCCTTTAGATATTTTAATATTTATTGGAAATATATATTGCGATTTCTGTGATAGAGATGGATGGAGACATTTGAGGGTCTTCGTTGGACACAATAACATTGGAAATATTTCATCTGCTGTTTTAAATATTGTGGAATTATAAATTGTGAATGCTGTGATAGAGATGCATGGAGACATTTGAGGGTCTTCGTTGGACACAATAACATTGGAAATGTTTCATCTGATATTTCATCTGCTTTGTGTTTTAAATATTGTTAAAATATATATTATTGTTGTTGTCGTGTCCACAATATATAGTCACATATTGTGATTGCTATAATAGAGATGTATGTTGAGACATATTTAAAGACATTTGAGGTTCTTCATTGGACACAACAACAACAATAACAGCAGAAAATTGACATGGACCCACAACAAAAGTTTTACACACCCAAGATAGAGAACATTGCAACTGTTGTGATAGAGATGTATGGAGACATCTGAGGCTCTTCATTTGACACAACAACAACATTGGAAATATAGGTAGGTGTCTCTGGAATAAACAAAAAACTGACTTTATCCTAATTCAATATTTTATTAATAATCTCAAACACATCGAGCAAGCGGACAAGTTAATCAAAAAAAGAATGCACACCACCGCAAGTTCTCTAGAAATCTATTAGCAGGATTGGTCGGTTGAATGATTTATTGGAGAGGGGCGTTTCAATCGATGCCGTGGTGGTGGTGAGATATATCTGCTCTGTTTGATCCTCCACAATTCCTTTTTATTGACAAATGAATCGGCTTCAAGATGATTACAGAAACTCTTGAAATTAAATTCAAGAAAGGATATCCTCCACAGTCATCCATCATTATTCCCGGCTTCACGGAAACAAAACAAAAATTAACAGTTTCACAACTTAATGAACCTCCCTGCGGTCCCCCCTGGACCCTTGGAATATTCGACCAAATTCTTGTTCGTTTCCGAGGTGACTAACGTGGCAACGGCACCCATTTTCCAATGAAAAGCAAAACATTGCTGCTGCTGTGATAGAGATGCATAGAGACATCTGAGGCTCTTCATTGGACACGACAACAACAACAACAAATTAATGAACCAAGTCAAAGATTAACAAGCCTTTCTCTGATTCATTAACTTTTGATAGTTTATCAAATTACACTCATGGACAAAATTTAAGGAAGTGTAAAGAGTCTTTGATGTCTTCATTATCTTTTTTTTTTTTTTCAAGGAGACAGAGGCAATTTTGTTCACACTTGGTTATCCCGTGTATCTTCAATAAAGGTCACTGTGTATCAAATGTTTTCAGAGTTATTGTTAGAATCCAGATATACATGCTAAAAGGTAAAACATCCTTTAGTTTTATCCATAAGTGAGGTTCTACAGTTCAACATAAAAACTGATAATATCAATAAAAGCCGTTTATTAAGACATATTTTGTCTTATATAGACTTGTCTCAGAATGGATGAAAATATCCTTAAAATGAAAAAAAACAAAAAAAAAAAACAGAAGTGGTTCTGATATCTCTCAACCAAAAGACTGTTTAGACAATTGACATAATTTTATTGACATCTTGTCAATGCATACAAAAGTGCACAGTCTGCACTATTTTAAAATGATAATATATAATATATGTAGGATGAATATGGCGCCTCTGCTACCGTTGCAGAGTTTGATAAAAAGTCCCTCGAGCCGAATTTGAACCAACGACCTAAGGATCACCGTTGAAAAATCTACAGTCCTCCGCCCTGCCAACTGAGCTATCGAGACTGTATAGAGCTTATAACCTATTTACTTTTTGAAAATTTCAAACTTTGTTTGCTCTTTCATACTTTCTTCAACTATTAGACGAGTCTATGCATAAAGGTTTTGCTGATGATAATAATAGAAGTTTTCTCTGCTAACTGTAATTGATTTGATGAAATTGATTCAAACAACATTCTGATTTGTAACTAAACACATGTTGGAAACTCAGTTAGCCCGTAATTATCTGCGTGGCTCTGCCCCTAAGTCCCTCCCTCTCATCCTGTAAATAATTCAGAAAGAAAACCGACAAGCCATTACGATCAGATGGCTGGGTGGGTCGTGTTGCCCGCGGGCGGATGGCCTTTGACACCCGACCTGCCGCTGCGACATACTTCCTCTCTCAACCATATCTCCCGAGTTGACATTTGATAGGTCGCAAAGGCTGATGATTACGTAAACCCATCTTTGAACGCTTCACGATTTTGCGTGTCAATTCTTGCTCAGGGACCATGCTAATCTTTTCCGTATCGTTCCTATTATAGTAGTTGTACCGACGAGGGGTATCACAGGGACCATGCCTAATCTTCTCTGTATCGTTCCTACTGTGGTAGTTATACCGCCAAGCAAGCGTGTAAACCTATCTTAGAACGCTTCATGATTTTGCGTGTCAGTCTTGCTCAGGGACCATGTTATTCTTCTCTGTATCGTTCCTATTGTAGTAGTTGTGCCTCCTAACTGGTATCACAGGGACCATGTTAATCTTCTCTGTATCGTTCCTATTGTAGTAGTTGTGCCTCCTAACTGGTATCACAGGGACCATGTTAATCTTCTCTGTATCGTTCCTATTGGAGTAGTTGTGCCGCCAAACAAGTGTATAAACCTATCTAAGAACGCTTCACGATTTTGCGTGTCATCCTTGTGCAGAGGCCATGCTAATCTCTCTGTATCCTTCCTATTGTAGTAGTTGTACCGCCGAGCAAGCGTGTAAACCCATCTTTGAATATTGCTACTTATTTTCTGACTGTGGCTTAAGTGAGCAACGCACATAAAGCACTATGTATGAACTATGCACGCATGTATGGATATGAATATTGGCCGTTATTTCTTTTTTTTTTTTTTTTTTTGAGAGAAACAAGAGAAAGAATTTTTAATACAATTAGTGAACTGAATATGAAAAAATAATTGAATTCTTGAATTGAATTCATGAATTTGAATTCATCATTTGAAACTACCTGATCACCACAAGAATTTCCAAAGACAAAATCATATGCAGCGTATATTTGCTACTAACATTGACTGATAATCTTAGGCATTCTGGAAAGGAATGGTTCCATCAATAAAGAACGATATTGTAAATCATTATAGAATCTCGGGGGTCGGTGGAAGGATGGTTTAAACCGCTGGTTTTCTACCGCTAAGACACGGGATCAAATCCCGCATTGGGCACTTTTTTATATTTAAAAAAAAAAAAAAGCTCCAATAGCCCCCTATTCTCACAAAAGTCCAACCACGCCAGGGAGTGCAAGTAACCAAACGGGGCTCTGGTACATTTGTAAGTGCAAAGTCGAACTGCTTTTCACATGTGTAGACATGTGGTGCACTTACAGTAAAAGCAGTCGCTAACTACCCACCATGATTAGCATAGTCTGTACCACACATGTGCTAGGTAAATAATAATAATAATAGAATCTCGAAAGATAAATTTCAGCAAAAATAAAAATCCGAGCTTAAATCATCCCAATAACATTTCATCAGGACAAAGCAAGACGCCACACTACGCACCAGACACTGGCACAAAGAGAACGCTATGGGTGTACTTTGTTGATCCATCCAGCTTACAGTCCTGAACTAGCTGCATCCGATTTGTACTTATTTCTTGTAAACTGAATGATTATCTACCAATAGGAACATTTGGAAACGATAACATTTGCTCCAAGAGGTTATTGGGTGTGTAGTTCCAAAAATAATTCATTTGAAGTATTTCTTTGTCAAAATCACTTAATGGTTGTAATTTTGTTGAAATTGATCTCTCTTCTGGAAAATTCAATTTTCACCAGTTTGCACTCATGGAAAAAACTTGAATTAGTTGTAATTTTTAGCATGTATATCGGGATTCAGACAATAACTCTGATATATATTTGATCACAGTGACCAGAGTCCTCCTTCAGAGAAATTTCTCGAAAGCCTTAAAGCTTGGAATAAACAGAATTAGCGATTTATCAATATGGAATTGTTTTTTTTTTTTCGAAGTTTCACAGAAGTAATTAAGCAATCGACTTTTCAAATTATGGTCAAAGTCTCTCCAGTTTTATTTCCATCGTGGAAGATGTGATTTCACTATCCCCTTTACTTGACTTGACAGATAGTATACGCTTGTTCGGCTGTACAACTACTACAATAGGAACGATACAGAGAATATTAGCATGGCCCCTGTGATACCAGTTCGGCGGTACAACTACTACAATAGGAACGATACAGAGAAGATTAGCATGGTCCCTGTGATACCAGTTCGGCGGTACAACTACTACAATAGGAACGATACAGAGAAGATTAGCATGATCCCTGTGATACCAGTTCGGCGGTACAACTACTACAATAGGAAGGATACAGAGAAGATTATCATGGTCCCTGTGATACCAGTTCGGCGGTACAACTACTACAATAGGAACGATACAGAGAATATTAGCATGGCCCCTGTGATACCAGTTCGGCGGTACAACTACTACAATAGGAACGATACAGAGAAGATTAGCATGGCCCCTGTGATACCAGTTCGGCGGTTCAACTATTACAATAGGAACGATACAGAGAAGATTAGCATGGCCCCTGTGATACCAGTTCGGCGGTACAACTACTACAATAGGAAGGATACAGAGAAGATTAGCATGATCCCTGTGATACCAGTTCGGCGGTACAACTACTACAATAGGAGAAGGATACAGAGAAGATTAGCATGGCCCCTGTGATACCAGTTCGGCGGTACAACAACTACAATAGGAGAAGGATACAGAGAAGATTAGCATGGCCCCTGTGATACCAGTTCGGCGGTACAACTACTACAATAGGAGAAGGATACAGAGAAGATTAGCATGGCCCCTGTGATACCAGTTCGGCGGTACAACTAATACAATAGGAAAGATACAGAGAAGATTAGCATGGCCCCTGTGATACCAGTTCGGCGGTACAACAACTACAATAGAAACGATACAGAGAAGATTAGCATGGCCCCTGTGATACCAGTTCGGCGGTACAACTACTACAATCGGAACGATACAGAGAATATTAGCATGGTCCCTGTGATACCAGTTAGGCGGTACAACAACTACAATAGGAAAGATAAAGAGAAGATTACCATGGTCCCTGTGCAAGGATGACACGCAAAATCGTGAAGCGTTCAAATAGTAACTGTGTCGGTTAAATAATGTGACAAACATGTGTCAATATGAGAATATTCTAAGAAACCTCTATGCTCTTGAGTATCTAATGTAAAATAAACACAGGAAATGTGACAAATATAGTGACTACGAGAGCAATGTTGTTAAGTGATGGGGTTATTTACACTGGAGGGTGACGTTTGTCAGATAGCAAGGGTGGTGACTCACGGGTCAACATTGGATAGCTAGGACTCATCCTGATATGTCTTCTTACACTTGTGGACAAAAACTAAAGGAAGTTGTAAATTTTAGAACATGTATATAGGGATTCAGATAATAATTCTTAAAGCTATTTGATACACAGTGACCTTTATTGAAGACACACAAGATATAAGTGTGAAAAAAATTGCCTCTGTTTTCATCTTCTTCTTCTTCAAAAAAAAAAAAGTCGATTGGCGACATCAAAGACTTTCTTAAGTTTTGTCCATAATTGTAATTGCCGAACATAAATCGAACATTCCAGTCGCTATAGCGAGGTGTTACTGTATGTTCTTAGAAATGCATTTATCTTATCAGTTAGAGCTAGAACGCTTCACGATTTTGCGCTTCATCTTTGCGCAGTAGCCATGCCAATCTTCTCTGTATCGTTCCTATTTTAGTATATGTACAGCCGAACAAGCGTGTACATCTCTTTTTGAGATAAAGAGACCATTATATTTTTCTGTCATCAGAAATAGAAAATATTCCAAAAATGACAACTTTCAGCTAATAATATACGAATTATCAAGATTTCAGAAAAGCATTTTGTCAAAAAAAAAAAATGGTAGACATGTCTATTTATGAAGACTTGAGTAATGTTTTAAAACACCATTTTGTCAAGAAGAACTTGAAGAATTTTGATGAGAGAGTTGTCACTCCCACGTAAGACTAAAATAACCAGTAGAAGACGGTTTGCCACGCCTTTCTAAGCTTCTTGGTCGTCAAGAGAACGGGCGGGACAAAGCATGTCCGTCATGATGCATCCAAATATACAGAGGAGGAGGGGAGTCTTTCATCGACCGCTATTTTCACACGGCGGCATGTATTTACTTTGCCAAACGAGGGAACATTATTTTGGAAGCCGTCTGACAGGGAAACTGGGCTAATCGTGTGGAGTTGAAAGGATGATGACTTTCGTACCGCCCCGCTCTATCTTTGTCACTCGGCAGCACATGGCTTTCTGAGATGTCCTTCATGTCTGTCACTCTTCGTCTCATTATTCTTATACTCCTCCTTTTTTTATTGCATTTCCATTCCTTCTAATAGATTTTACACATTTTTTTGGACACTTATTACATTCATTATAAGGCGATTCATTATATGTGCAATTCTAAACCTGCAACCCTAAAACACATTATTGACTGTATTGACTCATCCATTGATGAGCTCTACTCTTCCCCGGCAGACACCATCAAAAGTCTCAAGCTTTACAAGCTTGATACCTTAATATGATTGAGTGGAGATAAGAAATTTTAAGAAGATTACCATAGAACCTTCCTGTAAAGGACACCTAATTGCAGAGCCAAAAGTCTTTTAGTGAAAGGTGTCTTCTTACCGGAGACTTACAAAATAGTAAAAATGGAAACGTTGCAAATGAAAACTGTCCTTTAT